TACAAACCATGCTCTATTTGCAGTATATTACTATTAAGTATCATTTAAAGTTATTTAGCTTGTTTTCCAGTTACTTCATTTTTATCTTTTTAATATTTACCATATACTACTTGTTTAATTTGACTTGCTTTTTGAGTTTGCTGCTGTAATACTGCACACTTTTTTTTAAACTACAAAACCTCTCAGTCATTGTGGTCATGATTATGTAAGTGGAGATGAAAAAAATATTTGATGTGTCATAAGATCAAATCTCTCATAGGCTGTTTTTGAAATAGTTTTTTTTTTCCTGAAGCCAGTTGTGTAACCTGCATGAGGTGAGAATAAACAACATGACTGTACAGTTCAATACAGAATAAATGACCAAAACAGTCATCCTTTTAAAGTAGAGTCTAAACACTATGTGTGTTCTGGAGAAGATATCATGTGATGCATGCTTTCTGATGTACTTCTCAAACTACACTCACACTTTTAAACAAGTAAACATTAAACGACCCAACCAAAATTCACATCACAGGAGATTTATTTAGAATAGTCACATTTTTTATTTTTAGATTTCACATAAGTCTTATTTGATAGAACAACATGATTTTTAAAAGTATAATGAGAGAAAACTTGAATTACTTATTCATGTTTAAACAGGCTTCTCTTCCTCACTCTCTAAAAACTAAACTCCAACCCACTCTATCCATGTCTCTAAACACATTTTCCAGCCGAGGAAGGTGTTGAAGGAACCATCTCTCCCTCCAGTGGTCTTTACACTGCGCATCTGACCAAAAGGGATTTCCATTTAGCTGAAATGTCATTTGGTAATTCTGTGTCTATGTCAAATCTTTCACACTTGTTTGCTACAGGAACATGGTTACCATGCTGATACAGATCATCTATGGTGAGGAAGACCACATTCTGTATCTAGCTCAGAGGATGGCAGAGATGAGTCCTTATATTGCTCATAGAATTGTGAATTATGTGATTAAAGTTGCAATATCCATACTTTTGATCTTGTGTTTGAGTTTATGAAAACTCTTGCACAAACAAACTTTAAAACTTGACAAGAATGTATTGGAAAGATTCATTGCTGTGTGCTTTGTTAACTTATCCAACCTTTTAAGGAAAAAGTGAATATTTTACTTTAGGCATCTTTCTTCATTGCTGCTCATCATGCAGTGCTCATAAAGCCACATTTTGATTCTGTAGAAACCTACAGATGTGTAGTTGAGTTTTAAGTTGACACAAACACAAATGAATTTCAATTCTGGGAAAAGAGGAAATACATTTCACAACATACGTGACAAGTAAAGTCAAATGCATATTTGTGGTGAACCTTCCTCATCTCCTCCTCCCAACTCCACACGGCTACTTTAGTTAAAATTTTAAAGACAGGATGACTACACATTCAACTTTACTGTTTTATTTTTGCAGCAGTTCTTTGATCAGCTGATCTTTTAATGTCTTTTACATCACAACATGTAACACCTGGCAGAAATCTGAAATCCCCTAAGGGTATAAAGTACACTTGAGTGACCTTTTCTGGCTACATGTGTGGCTGCTACAGATGTAATTTGTGATGAACTCAGTGCACCTTTTAAATTGTCCCTGATTGTAGACGGCCACCAGGTGGTGCATGTAGTCTGTGTTCATGGCTGTTCAGAGAAGAACAACAATGGGGTTAAAATGGTGACATGTAATCTTAGCGTTTGGTCACAAGCTCTTTAAAATGTGTTGTGACAAGTACAAAACCTTACCTTCCTTGAGTGTTTTATTTGTTTATTTATTGAAGCAGACTAATGGAATTAAATATCTATTAGGCCCACATAAACACCATAAGGGTTTCATATGGCTTTCATTATCATGCAGATGTACATTCTGAATTCTTATTATTTTACATAGATTTTAAATTCACATCCGCTCTTCCAGTCAAAGCACTTGTCAGCGATCGCATCAAGCAGCATCCAATGAGATACTCAGGAAGTGGAGAGTCCTGACAGTAATTATCATTTGTGATGTCAGTAAAAATCAACCTGATTGTGGAAAAAAATCTTTTTGTTTGAGGTTGTGTTCCTGGAAAAAATGGGAGAAGATCATTAAAAGCAGCACAGAGTCCTCAGCTTTCTTCTGGCTCCACTGCAGGTTTCCCTAAATGAAGAGAAGGAGGACAATAGAAGCAAAGCAGTAAGAAGGAAACTCTGATTTCAGTCAGCTCCCTTTGGAGACACCTGGAGAAATTTCAGACCGATGCCTGACTGCTTTTGTTTTTCAGAGTCCTGTTGAAGTGTGTTGTCAAAAAAAATGTCCCCTTTAAAACTATGATAACTTACAAATTGGGTGATAATTTGCTCAGACATGGAGAACATCAAAGAGTTAAAGAGTGCATGCTTTTGTTCTGCTTTCTGGGACAGTATTCACCATGAATAATATAAACTGAACAGGAAAAGAAATGTGGATGTTGAAATAGCAGAATATGAACCGTCAACTTGGAAAAGTCAGAAGTCAACACAAACAGGGTATATACTCAAATACAAAGGTTAGACAAAAAATCCAACTCACTGAAAAGGTCAAAAGATTTCAAAAGAAGATGGGAAACATTTTGAAGTGTATAAAAATAAAAGTTGAAATTAGTTGTTAAAATAGAAGTGTAACTTTTATCCAAAATTTTAAGATATATTTTTTTCTTTTTATCTCAGTTGTGCTTCTTAAATTAGGTTGTATAGTATTTAAACTGATGAGGGAATAATTTCATAAACATGGACACCAGGGGGAGTGTGGACATCAATCATTAGAAGACGTGGTAGGATGTATAAGTTTGAAAACTGTTTCTGCAGTATGTCAGTGTGATTCAATCTGACATCGCATAGGTATTTCCCCTACACACACACACACACACACACACACACACCCACATACATACACACACATAGTGGAAATGAATCAGCTGAGTGGAACGCAGACATATTTAATCTTACACATTTTATTATCTTCTTTTCCTGATGACAGCAACATTTGGAGTAGCTCACTTCAGCAATGATTCAGCTTCCCTCATATCCAAGTTTACTCGTCACTAGGTGATAATGCGCTTAAATTACTTTGATAATAGTATCATTGGGTCTGTTTGGATGCTTTAAAGTGCATAAAATGAACATCCTACTCAAAGGTTTTTATGATTTCAATTTGTATGACACAGTTATTGAGACAGTGCTCTTTGATTCAGCTCACTAACAGGATGCTTTTAAGAACAGATGTCATCTCTCCGTCTGTAAAGCATCTGGACTTGTGAGCTATAATTTTAGACTCATATTTAAACCAATTTTGTTTGCTTGATGCACATTGACACCTTTTAAAGAAGGGAACAGAATTTTTTTGTTGACTTGTGTCACTTTACATGTGTGCTGGTGGCAGCTGCTCTCTTCACTGCTTCTGTGGGGTCATGTCTTGTGATAGAAGACTGTTGCAGCTGTTTCACTTTGCCAGGAAGGACAGAGAAGAGAAATAATAGTGATTAATAAAGGTGATGTGTAGCGTTGAAAGATGAGGAAGCGAGACTGATTGCAAAATTTTGTGATGGGCATTTATCACAAATAGCTTATCATCCAATTTCCCCCCCATTGAGAAGACTGTGTGGAATTCAGCTCCGGTGAGAAAAATGGTCCTGGAGATGACACACTGAAAATGATGGCCTGCTGTGTTGGAGATGATGGTTTCAGGCTGGTTTGTGGCATTGCAACCTGCGTCACTGGAGGAAGTCACAGGTTTAATTTTGACCTTAGTCTAACAAAAATAACAAACAGTAGACAAAATGTGATGCAGTCAGTGGTGTAAATTCACCAAGAGAAACATCTTCTGAAAGCATTAAAATGAGTCACAGAATATTAAATTAGGCAGTTTTCAGAAAATAGCACTGTGACACATTTGTGAAATCATGCAAACTGTGGTTGATTCTCAATACTTGCATGCCGTTTTTAATGCACCTTTGAGTGGATTCATGTGCAGTGGAGTGATGTGAATCATCTGTGATTGCAAAATACATGTTGTTGTTTTTTTACCCTCAGTCGCCAGCTACTCAGATACAGCGAGCCAGAACTAATGCAACAGTCCTGCAGAAAAATGCAACTCTAATGAAAGTTGAACCTGCAGTTGATTAAACTCTAGTCATTGTGGAGCCTGCAGTTTGTGATGTTAAATTGCATTGCTTTGTCCTCACAGGTATTTCTGTTATTTTGTCCACCCCATTTTTTTTAGATGAGGGTGTGCTACATTACAGAAACATGTCTCCATGCCCAGCAAAAACTCCTTCACTTAGGGAGCATTTAGTTCAGGGCTGTTTTGCTGAACTGCATTAGTTTAAGCCAAACAAACTTTAATAAACTGCCAACTGAGTGTGTTTTATTTCTTGAACAGATGACATGCACAGGACAGAAACCTAATTCCGAATAATGACCCTCCCTGGCTGTCATTGCACATGTCTGATCATGCATATACTGAGTGATTGCTCATGTCTTGCCTTTGCTCTGGCTTGCAGAGGGTATCCAGTTACTGTTTCTATCATCTGTCATGAGTCCCCTCCCTCTCAGCCCCCCTCTGAGTCAGCACACACACTGCTGTGCCAGGCTGCCCATTCATACCACTGCTGCACTTCTCATTTAAAATCATGTCATGCTTAAGAGCCGAAACAGTCACTTGTGCTTCAGAAACTTAAAGAAAAATTTTAAAAAATAATCAGCTACCAGTAGTACAAGGTGTCACTGAACAGTTCTACGTTGAGGTTAGAAATGTTGACCATGTGACCCTTTGTGTGACCTCGACCCTAACTGTCATAACACAAAGACTGCTATCTATTCTTGACAAATATTTGCTAGAACTTTATGACCTCTGGTTTGTGTTGTCCTGGGATGTCCGCATTCCACATTCACAAAACTATAGCAGCAGTCAAGCTGACTTACTATTTTTATATTAGTCACGTACACTTCCTCCCACAAACCAGCTGCACCCCTTTTCTTGGCACAGGAACTTGGAGTAAGTGCGAAGGCACTGTACTTACTTGACTGGACAAGCTCAGCCTTATGGTTTTCCAAAATGTCCAGCTCTTAAAAAGAAAGTAAAATGCAGATTTACATGAAGATCACCTGCACTGATGGTATATTTTATATCAACTGCAGCCACCCATCAGCAGTAGCACTGAGAGAAAAAGATGAAAAGAGCAACGGTGGACAAAGTTGGCCCAGCAACCTTTGAGAAGCCGACACTTTGCCTGTTCCTGTTGGAGTTTTTTCATTAACAACATGCCGGAAAATCGCATTTCTCGTTGGTATTTTGGTGGGGTCTCTTCCAGCGCAGCTGCCTGTTTAACACACCCACTGGATTTAATTAAGGTAAAAGATTGATTTTTATTAATTGTTACTGTAACATGTTTTTCCATTATGAAAATAGGAAACTGATCCAGGTAGGCCTCGGTGATGTGTCAGGGATGTTCTTCACATGTGCCTCCAGACTGTGGTGTGTAAAATGTGAATAAAATTATATTCTTTGAAGGTTTATTATCCTAACTTCTTCTACTTTCCCTGGTGATGATAACATTTTGAATAGCCTGTTCTGGCAGTGATTTGGCTCACCCAGTTTCTGAGCTCACGAGTTAAAAGGCAATAATGTGCCTGTCATTCGGTCTGTTTGGATGCTTTAAAGTTCATAAAATTATAGAAACATCTTTAGGTTTTATTGTTTCAATTTTGTATTTCCTACAACTATTATCCAGTGATTGAATTGATTGTAACACACTGACTGAATGCGGTGGAGATGTTAAGAAACAGGTATTTTCACTCAGTCTGTGTTGCACCTTCGGTTGGGAGCTCTCATTTAAGACTTATTGTTGTTCCCATTTTGTTTGCTTGATGCACACTTTTTTTTAAGAAGAAACAGTCTTCTCTTTGTAGACTAACACCTGCCAGCAGCTGCTCTCACTAACAATGTGCTTTTTGCTGCTTCCATGTGTTCATTTCCAGGTGCACTTACAGACGCAGCAGGAGGTGAGGGTGAGGATGATGGGGATGACCGCTAACGTAGTGAGGAGAGAAGGTTATCTGGCTCTGTACAGCGGCCTCAGTGCTTCTCTCTGCCGGCAGGTTGTAGAAGGACACTCACATTTAAACGTTTTATTGCGGCACATGCTGCATCTTTCTGATATAGTAACTGTTATTTTACTTTCCCCTCCAGATGACTTATTCTCTGTCACGGTTTGCCATTTATGAGACTGTCAGGGACAAGATGAACAGAAAAAATAAAGGTCTCATGCCATTTTACCAGAAAGTTCTGCTGGGAGCCTTTGGAGGTATGTGATGTTACACATCTGCACTGTAAATTCAAAATGCTTAAAAGTTTGCTGATAGCAACTTTAGTTCAAAAGCTTTTGCTTAGTCCAGTAAAGAAGGAGAAAAGTTTGGAGTACACACATAAATGAAATGTGTCACATGATCGATATCTTGAAGAAAATTAGTGTCAGTTCAACAAAACGTTTTTAGATATACAATGAAATGCTCTTTGTTTATACAGTATAGAAATTCAATGTCGTATTACCAGAAAATATATAGTTTATATGACTTAAAATGATCAGGTTGCTGAATATTAGCTTTTTGTTAACTAAATCCAAGAAATGTAATTTATAAATCTATTAAGTTATTATAAACACAACATTTTTACATTATAATGTCAGTGTCAAACTAACATAAGATTAATTATTTGCCTAAAACCATGTTTTTTTGTTTTTTTTTGTTTTAAAAACAGCTTGCATACGTCTCTGTCTGAAAGTGCATAAAAAATTACTGCAGTTACCATATATTTGTCAGTTTAACATAATATTTTTAATCACATAATAAAATAATATGTGCATTGTTGATGTAGATTTCCAGGTCAAGTTAAGTAGTAATATATAATATATGTAATGTTAAATTATTATCTTTTGTGTGTGTGTGTGTGTGTGTGTGTGTTTTTTTTTAACAAAAACACACTGAAGAAAACATGTTCTGTGCATTATACGAATAATGTTTAAGTCTTACACTCAAAATAACATCAAGTTATTGGTTTTCCAACCATTAATATTTAGTATTTTAATCTTAAAATGTTCTTTTCTTATGTAATGTGTCTTCACCAACAGGGTTTACAGGTGGTTTCATCGGGACCCCAGCCGACCTGGTGAATGTCCGGTGAGCTTTGGAGTCATGCGTCTTTTAGCATACAATGTGTTTTAGTTCGTAGAAGTCACAGCTTGTGGTCTCATTTGTATTTTATAGTATACAACACAAGTGAGTCAACCTGTAAAATCACTTAAATGTCAAATCTTCTCAAATTGTATCACCTCTCAGCAACTGTATTGTTTCAAGTTGATAAGAAGAGTATTTTCTCTTGCAAACAATCAAAAACTGAATCTTTGGAAAGACTGTACTGAATATATTGACCCCAAAGTAGAAACTCATTACAACAAAAGTGAATACACCGATGATCGCTGACACGCAAGTTAGAAAACCTGTTAAATGAAAGTAAACTGAGCACACCTGTGATTACAAGGTAGCTTATAAAGCGACCTGTAAACACCAAAAAAGACTGTGTCTGCATATTAGTGCCAGATGAAGAAAAATCCCCAAAAGAAGAGGAAAATCTAATAGTCAGGCTACACAAAAATGGAAACAGATACATTAAGATTGGTAAAAACTAAAAATCATTCAAAACACAGACTGTATAGAACAAGCCATCGCACCAATAATCAGAGCTGAAGTGGTTGTCGTCCTAAAGTAATGCCACAGTGTTCCACTTTTACAATCTACCTACTCATGCGCAGATGCTTCAGGTCTGTCACAGTGGTTATCATTAGAAATTGGAGTATCTGTGATAGCTCAGACAGTTTAACGGACATGGCATAGCATGACCCTCACTAAACTGCAAGATTACACTTTGCTAAATTTGGTGTAAACCTAGACAGCACTACCACATTGAGTGCATGGTCCTGACAGTGAAGCATAGAGTTATGAGTCTGGTGGTGTTATTATGAGTTCACACAATGTTGGAGAGAGTTGTAGATGGCACCATGAATAGCTGTTGATGTCAAAACACTGGGTGATGAGATGACTCCCAGTTTGGCAAGCTTGGCAGAAGAGGAACATTCCAGCGTGATGACCATCTAAAGCACACTGCCATAATCACACAAGAGTTACTAAAGTAGAAAAAAGTGGCCAAGTATGTCACATTTGACTCCAACAGAACATCTTTGGGGTATTTTAAAGAGAAAGGCAGAGCAACACAATCCCTCCAGCAAAGTGCAGCTGAGAACACCGTCTCTGAAGAATGACAGAACATCTCTTGAGAAATTTGAAACCCTTCATGCTGAGCAGGCTTGAGTCTGTTTTCAAAACTTAAGGTGGACATAGAATGTATTGAAAACAAACAAAGAGGTTTGAATTTCTTTAATGAAACGTGCATTACCTTTTGTTGCATTGAGCTCCTACTGTGAGGCCTGTGTTTCTAATTTAGTAAATGTAAACTGTTCATTTTTCAATTTTACATCGGAGCAAATACCTGCTGTCCAGTTTAGAAGTGATGCAGTTATTGGGAGATAGTAAATCTTGATCAAATTTTAGATTCTTTAACATTTAAGCGATGTTGCACAGAAGTGTACTCACTTCTTTTATGTACTGTACAATTTAGTGCTGCTATGGTTCACAGCCTGCATCTGTATGTTGTGTTGCTTTATCTCTCTGCCGTTTGTCAGCAGTGAGCCAATAAATAATTCAACACAAGTGACATAAACATTTTTTTTTGGTTTATTTTTATATACCAAGTTTTGCTACTAACTCAAATTTAGGGTTCGTTAAGGGTTACATTTTGATTTTCCAACCAAAGAAAAGGGCGATTGTATTTTATGCTTATGTGTTTATTCTGATGTGGCAGGCTGATTGCCACTGAATCCAGAATCAAGATAATGCCTGCAAAGTGCTCGTCAACAAGCTTAGAAATCTTTCAATGTCTCATCTATGCAGAATGCAGAATGATGTAAAGTTGCCAGTGAAGCTCAGAAGAAAGTAAGTACAAGTGAAACGGGAATGCATCCTGTATCATCTTTTCATACAAATAACCACAATGTGAGTTTTTCTTTCTCCTCCAGTTATGCTCATGTGCTTGATGGGATGATACGTGTTTGGAAGGAGGGTAAGAAACACAAAAAAAGCCTTCTGTGAATTACCTGTAATTCAATCTGAAGGTTGTTTCTTTCATAGCTTCCACTGCATAGGGAAAAAAAAGTCAAATAACAACAATCTGTCAGTTTTTATGTGAAAAATGAGTGTTTTGATTCCGCAAAATGTTTTAAACAGAAGCATTTTTTGCCATTAAAAAACCTGAAGGTTTCCCTGTAGAAGTTCAATTCAAGAGCATAAAGCTTTTTCATGTTTCACACAATGTTCTCCATTCTGAAATTACAGAGGGGATAAGGAAACTGTTCTCTGGTGCTACAATGGCTTCTACTAGAGGTGCACTCGTCACTGTTGGTCAGGTAAAGTCCTGTTCTGTCCTACAAAGTCAGAGAGTGTTCAGTGCAGAAGCAGTGAATTTAAGAAAAAAAAAATGAGTGAAAGGGTGGATAGGAAACTGTAAAGCAGATAGAAAGTTTGCTTTGCACACATTTTCTATCTGTAGGCTGATTAATTTACCCCTGAAAATTCAGTCCTCCGAAAACGTTCAGAGAAACTTGTGCCAGAAAACTGTGTTCTTTCAGCTTTTTAATTCACTTCAAGAAGATTGTTTGTAAAAATTTGCTTTAATTGAATATTTTGAGGTTGCTGCAACAGCCCTCACACATTTCTATTGACTTAGATCTCAATATATAGTGTTATATACTACTAAACATAGAGTTTAATGAACTTTTACATCACAAAACACAACCGTGCTACTTTGCAGTATGTGTGTATTTTGTCCCTGCAGCTGTCCTGTTATGACCAGTCCAAACAGTTGGTTCTGGCTACTGGTTACCTGACTGATAACATCCTCACTCACTTCCTGGCCAGCGTGTTTGCAGTAAGTGACTCACATCTGTCTCTCTGTATGAAAAAACATCACAGCTTCTACTGAAAAAAAAATTCTCCTTTCCTTCTTCACTGCACAGGGTGGCTGTGCTACCATCCTGTGCCAACCACTTGATGTTGTTAAAACAAGATTAATGAACTCAAAAGTGGAATATGGGGTGAGTGTTTTGCACAAGACATGCCGTCATGTGAATCTACATATCTGGTATTGTCTGGAAGGACAGTAGGTTACATAAAGAACCTCTGAGTTCTTCGTCTTACCATTCTGACATGTATGTTTTGTTCATTGGTTGTGGGAAGAATTACACATCTTGGCATGTCTCTTGTGTTTTCTTGTCTCCTTGTTGCAGAGTGTGTTTCACTGTCTAACAGAAACAGCAAAGCTGGGCCCAAATGCATTCTACAAGGTGGATGTCCCCTTCACTGTTAATAACACAAAGACATGATGTTTCACACTGCTTCCTCTGGTCAACACATCACTCTGCTGTATTTTTAACCTCTCCTGAAATAATGACATGATTTGTGTCCAGGGTCTTGTTCCTGCAGCGATCCGACTCATCCCGCACACAGTCCTCACCTTCATATTCCTGGAGCAGCTGAGGCATCATTTTGGCGAAGTGGTCGTCACCTGAGACAGTCGTAAGAAGGGCATCCTGCAAGGTAGCCAAGGCTAGTCATCACAATGTCATCGATCTTCCATATTGGACTGCTTGATCACGATAACCCACTAACATGCCGAGGTTAGCTGGGGTCCTCTTGTGCCAGGAGTAAACTGACATACCCTTGTGCGTCATTTCCTTCATCCATAGCAGAAGAATGAAAGCGAGTCATGCATTAATACTCAAAGCTCCAGATAAGGCACAGGGAGGAAAGAACTGTGATGTGTGTCTATCACAGCATTACAAACAAGGATGACTTGAATTACTCCCTTTCAGCCTTGTGGCACTTTATCTGTCATAAACTAACTGTATAACTATATATGACCTAAGTATTGTAGTTGAAAGGAATGTTAATAAACTTAACTCATGTTTTGTTACAACGAGAATTGTGTTTTTAATTATTATATCGTAAATCATGCCAAGCTCTGAACCTGGCAGTTGAACGTCCTAATATAAGGCCCCCGCTGCCCTCTGGGGGACAGTGTTATGCTGTAAAATAGTGTGCTTATGCTCATGTGTACTGTCAATTTGTAATGATGCAGAATTTAAACGTATTTCTGACCATAATTATGGAGGGTGAAATGTGCCAAAATGAAATAAATACATACACAATTAATTAATAAGTTAATTAAATGTGCCATTAATTAACTAAAATGTGAATTCATTTCATTTAGCAACATATATATATATATTTCACTATTTATTTAATTTTTTCATGGTCGCAGTGGTGCAGCACGTCATGAATTTATTACATCTGTCAACCTCACCCATCAAACTCAGTGGGCGGGACTACTGCGGCTTTTAACATCTGATTGGTTACTCAGCACAGCAAGTCATGACAGATCGATCCCAGAAAATGGATTAGCTGTAGGGCCACTGGATTGCACTCCGATACACTGGGTGGCGGTATTCGTCTCCATGTTTGTTTCGAAACGCTATTTTGCCGAAGAGAAAAAGAGTTGCTGCAGGTAAGAGTGATGGAGGTTTAGCAATGATTTAGTTAAGTGTCTATACAGCGTGTGAGGTGCAGGAGAGATGTCAAAAACCTGTCCGGAGCTGCTGAGAGAAGCAGCGGATTTGATTGAAGGAGCTCTGAGGAGAATCTACAGCAGATACCTGTGGCTCCACAACATGCACCTGTCCAAGGTAAGTAAGGTTGGCCAGGTGTGCTTCTAAACGATGACACGCGACCCATGTAGGGCTTAGTTAATTAATTAGATTTGATATTTTAGTGGGAGAAAAATGCTAATTGTTTGTGTGTGGTCGCAGATAATTATGCTAGCCACGTGTTAGCAGAATGGTAATCTGCATTGGCTCATCATGACAGGTCAATTGTTTACCCTTATTTGATCCTATCAAATACTAGCAGTGAAACCCCAAAGTGAACATAGATTGATTTTATCAGAGATGAATAGAATTGGAATTTATTTCAGCATTATCAGTTTTTGTTGTTGTTTTTGTTGATGCTGCTGTTGGGCAGGAAGTAACAAGGCACTTTCTGACAGCAATAATTTCCAAACTCCAGTTTGGATTCGGTCTGGATCTTGGTAAGTTTGCTACTATTTATCTAGGGTAATGTCATACTTGTCAACATTTAATTGTATGATTTTAACCTATGCTCTGTTGATACAGGAGGAACAGGACGAACGCTGCTGTTTGAGGGTGAGCCTGACCATCTTGTTCCAGCAGCATCAGAGGTACTTATTGAGAGCAACCTATTCCGGGTTGCAGGAGGGATGATGGGCCACTCCTTTTTGCATGATGGCCCCCGTGTCACAGGATTAAGTCCTGTTGTGATTCATGCACTGTTTAATGGGGACCCTGAAATGGCAACAATTGCTACCAAGGACTGTCCTGATCTGCACATCAGGAGCATCATAAAAATGGTATGTAACATTAAAAAACCTTTGCTTTTAGGACCGGGGCGGTTTTATTTCATTCAATTCAGTTTTATTTGTATTGCGCAATTTACAACAGTTTGTCATTTCACAGCGCTTAAAAAAGTAAGGTGAGGACCTTACGAATTTAAACAGAGAATTGCTTGTATTTCATTTAACTTGTAATTACTTGTGTAATAACTTCTATAATTTCAGTTTTAGCTTGAACTTGAAGAACTTTCTCAGGAACAGATGGACACTGTCTCAGATCTTTCCATGTCTTGGGCTCTCCCAGCAGTCACTAAAACAAATCAGAGATGGCTACACAACAAACTTCTAGTCCATGCAGTGAGTTTCTCCAGGTTAAGACACAGAAGACTTAGTGTTATGTACCCAGACTTGTTCTGCTAACACTGGCTGGGGTGGAAATGGTCAAATAACTTTAACACGTTATTTATTATTTCCCTATTGTCATGTTGAAATTCTCCTAAAACAAAATACTAACGTGTCATTTCTCCTTCCTGCAAGTATTGACAGAACAATCCTAATAGTTCACACAACCCCAGTCTTACAAATTGACATAGTAAGAAAAATGCTCACAAAAATGTAACGCTTTACAAAATCTATTTACCAGAATAATTCAACATGTTTGGTTTTGTGAATTTGCCTTCTAAAAATAAACTCATTTCAAATTAACACTTTCTCGAAAAGGTGGTACTTTTTTATTCAAGTACAGTTTTTAAGTGGGCTTTTTTCCCCATTTATCTATCAGTTATGTTAAGCCAAGCAATTCTATTATGTCATGCAAAGTGCATTGCGCATCGTCTCAACCTCATAGTCAGAAAATCGATTCATAACACGCCTGGGCTGGAGGAGATCAGAGGCAAGGCACGGAAGATAGTAGGCTATTTCTGGTGTAGCACAGTTGCAAAGGAGAAGCTCTGCCAAATGCAGCAGCGGATGGGTAGACCACATCTGAAGCTCCTGCAGGAGGTTGACACCAAATGGAACGGCACATACATCATGCTGCAGCGGTTATATGAGGAGAGAGAGCCAGTTGGTGCTGCCCTAGTGTCAATGAGGACAGACCTTGCACCCATCACTGCTGAGGAGTACCACTCTGTTAAAGAGTGTCTGGGGGTGCTTTCTCCATTTTACATGGCCACCACTGAACTCTCTGAAGAGCGGAGAGTGACAGGGTCCAAAATAATCCCGCTTGTCTGCATGCTGCGGTACACAGTGTCGAGAAAACAACCCCAAGTAAAAGACGAGAAAGCCCTCCAGTTGTGCATAAACCTCACAAGGATGCTAAGTGAGCGTTTGTCTCCCTATGAGACCATGAGCGTTCTGACCATTGCTACACTGCTTGATCCGAGGATTAAGGCTGTGGGCTTCTGCAGCCAGACCAATGCTTCAAGCAGCAGTCCAGCGTCTGACCTCAGAATGTGCAATCCTCATCGGAGCTGAAACGGACCAAAGTACGCCTGTCTCTGTCCTGTCCCATCCACCTCCTCACAGCCAGAGCCAGCAGCCGGTCCTGCATCCCAGTCAGGTACAGTTTGTGTGTTACCAGAAGTGCATAACACATTGACAGGGTTCCAGCATATTCTTCTTAAAATGTCTTGACCGGGCTCAGGAGGTCACAACAAAAAAAGGAAGAACATGATAAACGTTTAAATAATTTCTTATTGAATCAAATAAGACCAAATTAGATAGCCAAATCCAACCTTGGTGTGCCTGTGTAGAAAGCCAGAGTAGAGAGAGAGAGAGTTAGAGCAACTGCAGGGCTTAAGTAAGTTCATCACACTGGGCCCAGGTGTGCTGAGTCACTCCTATCAAGCCACTGCAAATGTGAGACCGGTTAGGGACACACCTCCAAGAAACAGCGGTAAAGACACTCCCCGATGATCCCACAGGGGATCACACATTTTACTTTTGAAATTTAATACAGTAATTTTTTCCCCATAAATAGTTTTAAAATGTTATTTTAAAAACTGTATTTGTTCATTCTTTTTAGGTGATGGTCTGTGGGATCTGCTGGACAGCCATGTGGTGGAGAGGCAGGTGAGGAATGCCACCGCAGATGCTACAGCTGAAGTCCAGAGATACATGGCGGATCCTTTAATTCCCCGGACGGAGGATCCACTCCACTTCTGGGCAAGTAGAAAGACTGTTTACCCACACCTGTATAAGCTTGCACTGCAGTTTCTGTGCACTCCAGCCTCTTCTGTCCCATGTGAGAGGATTTTCTCAAAGGCAGGAGAAATTGTTTCCAAGAGGAACAGACTCAGCCCTCGCACTGTAGAACAAATCTTCTTTCTGAATAAAGATCTAATAAAATAGCCTTATATGGATTATATGTTAATTTTACCAGTTCATAAGCACCTCTACCCCCAGGTCAAAAAAATACATATAAGTTACAATATTATATTATTTAAATGTATCTGTCAACTGTTTAATAACATAAGCACATGGAGGCAGGGACCTCACAGCACAAGCAAGCTATGATAAGATTGTGTCGTACATGAATATATGATGTTTTTAAAAAAATAATAATTCATTTATTGTGTTTGCAAATGTGAGGAAGTCATAAGTAAAGGGAGACCACACCATGGAACATGTTTAAACAAGAAAAGTTTATTGATCAAAATTATTTATTAATCAAATAAACATTACATTATTTTTTCACCCCAAAAAAATACATGTTCAAAGCACCGCAACGATTGGCCGATTTCAGACTGACAGAATTGTCACATGATATTAAACTCAACTCTGTAGAGTGCCCACCATAATGAAGCGGTTCATTTCAAGTTGTAGATTCAAGCTGCTCTTCATACTTTCGGCCACCAGATGCCACCAAAGAGGACTGAGTTGACAAGCTTCCAGTAACGAAGCCTTTATCCATACAAGCTTTAGTGCTTCAGAAAGCTTCCTTTGGTCATCACTAGCTTGTTGCAACACACAATAAAAGGCTTGGTTTGGATATCAGTCTCATATGATTCTTGACAAAATTTGCACTGTCTCCAGATATGATCCAATTGCATCAGTCAGAGAAACTCTTGAAAATGGCAAAGTGGCAACTTCTTCATCCAAGAGCTCACAGGCCAACTGAATCTCAGGAACTGAAACAGAGCCCCAATGCTGATTAGGAGTCCCGTTCCAGTCGATCCCATAGTCTTTATGAGCCTGAAGACAGGATAACTTTGATTAGCCTTTTTGTTAAAACTACTTTGGCATGTCATTACACAAGATATTTGGGATTGATGAAAAATGTAGTTTAGAAATACACATTGACCATTAAGTGTCTTAAAGTTGTATGTTTTGCATAAACTGCATGTAAGTGCCATAAACTTAACTGCTCAGATGTTCATCTTTGAGAGTTCAGGAGGCATCGAAGAGATTCTCACCTATGTTTTGTTAAAGTACACCTTTAGCATATTTATATATTTAGAATCCCCATCAAGAAACATTTAAGGCAAAGATGATAAACTATGAAATCACAATACGAAGGAAAAAATGAATTTGGCTGATATCACCATTAAATCAACATAAGAACAAAGTGAGAACAGAAACCCATCTATTAATAGGTGGTGGGTCCAATTATCATCTCTGTTTAAAATGTGTTTTTTAAGAGATTTGAGGAAAAACACATGCTGAAGGGGATGCTTCAGTAAAGCACCAGTGAGAAACACTTCCATATTTCTTGAGCTGCCAAAGACAGCTCTCCTGTGAAACCTATGGTTTTAATAATACACTCTTTATTTAACCTCTCTAGGCTCCTCCATGGGGCCTTGCTCTCTGTGTCTGCTCCAGAGTTTATGCGGTGATTGATTCCTTTCAGTTCTTGGTCCATGAAAGTTCCAAGCATCTCTGAAGGAGCTGAGGCTTCTCTGAATTTGTGGAAGGACGATCCAATGCAGGGCATAAAGATGGACTTTGTTGTCTGGAT